TTACGTAAATAAATGCGGCTGCTCACATGTTTCAGGACAGGCTCTTGAGTGTGGCTCGCATTGCTTTCAAGTTTGAAGGCCGTCCGGGCGCCAATTGCACCCGGCAGGCGGCAGGCGATGTGGGGGCATAAGCAATATGAAGTGCAGTGTTCACTGCCTTCCTGAAGACAGCATTCACTTTGATCACAGCGATTGCACAAATATGTGCAACAAAGTTGTTCTGGCATGGAAGGCTTCAGGTGGCCGTGATCAAGGGCCATGCTAGAGTCTGTACCCAGCTTCATCATCAAGACGCTGGCACGAGATGCACTTTAAAGTTTAAACTTTAGTTGGCTCCTGGTATTTGATCGGGGCATGACTGCAATCCCTCTCGAAAATCCCAGGTGTCACGCAAACTGGCGGGACTCACCATCAAAACTATAACATGGACCATAAGTCTGTGGATCAGGAGTAGCGTGATGCGAGTCTTGCTGTGACACGAAAATCGATCTCTTTACTGTACACAACTGCGGGCAGTTTCACGACAGCTGCACTGAAGACAACCTGCCATTTTGTCTTCCAAAGCTCCATGATTTCAACCCTGTGGCAAAGCTTCATGCCTGCGATCAAGGCTTTGGAGCCGCAGGCTCAGGAGTCTCGGAAATTGTCGCCGGCCTGCACTACTTCCCGAAGCTTCACAGCAAGCTCACCAATATCCACAACAACAGACCCGATAGGTGTCCAGCATAGTAGGCCCGGCGGCCCAGATACTCTTCAATCCGCAGCAACTGGTTATACCTGACTTCAATGTCTGCTAGCAAAATCTTGTGCAACTTCAACTTTTGCCATCTTGAGCTGTGATCCAGGCTTTGCAACCCGTTCTGAGCGGCACGGGGCGCCGGTCCTTTTTGGAGCTTGCATCTTGCAGCTTGTTTCATGTTCTGTCAACATAGCCTGCCATTATCTGCAGCTCCCTTGTAAGGCCGCTTCTTGATCTGGCCCGTGCTCAAACCCACAGCCAGATCTGCCTCGCGAAGCACCGCGGTTGTCTGTCGAAAGTGTCATATTAAGGCGACGGGGTCTGGACGATGAAGGTATCTTCTGTCTCGCCACTTCGGTGCGAAACCTGACATGCCAGGCTCTAGAAGCTGAAGCTGGTACCTCAACACGCTGGCGTGGCCATCACTCCCCAGCCGACTTCATGGCTGTCAAGGTAAGCTGTGATGGCCTTCCATCATTTTGGGTTCTTCTCTGCCCAGCACGCTGCCGTGCATCTCTGGCATACCATTACAAGCGGCCTCAGTGATGCTCCCGATCTGATTGACCTTCAGTAGCAGCGCGTTTGCAGCCTGCCAGTCAGCCAGCTGCAAAATGGAAAGAAAGACCAGGGCGATTGAAAGACATCTTGAGGAGGAAGGTGTCAAGGGAGGGTTGGGGCGGCTCAAAAGGTAGGACGAAGGTAGGCGGGTTAAAGGATCCCTAGTATGTACTCTACTATATTGGGGCTTATTTCCTACACCCCACCTTCCTTTACCCCAGCTTTGAGCCCTCCGAGGGGGAGACAAAGGTAGGAAAGGGGTTCTCGCCTTGTGCTCTTTGGCATACTGAATCCTCTTTGGATTTGTCACCAACCTAAGCCATCTCCAGATTAGCCGAGTCCGCGTGGATAAGGAGCAATGTGAGTCATGTCTGCAAGCCGTCCCGTTCGGGCTCGTGCAGATCATCTCCAACGATTTGCACATCTTTGCCGACAGCCTACATGAGACATGATGAGACATGTCATGCACACGACATGGGAAAGTGAGAGCCAGCTGGTCGCAAACGGGAACTGCCTCGACCATCTGACCGTAGGCCTCCCAGTCATCCTGCCCACGCTGTCGCAACGACATGTCATTGCAGCTTCAAAGCAACTTCAACACTGCCTGATCAAAGGGATCCTCGATGGACACGATCGGATACCTGAGAAGTGTCTAGAGAAGACTGCACCAGGGTAGGTTTGCAAGCACAAGATATGCCTTGAAGTAATGTCCTTATAGAACTCCATGAGCTGATCCTTGTTCTTGATCAAGGACGGATCTGGATTCTCGACCTGTCGAGAAGATGCTCTCTCTTAGGCACAGACTCCTCGAGGCCGGCCTTGAAACCTAGGTTGTAGGTCTTGTCCTGACCCGCCAGGCACTCAGCAGGAGGTCGATATGCACAAAGGAACTAGCAACTTGCCTCGTTGCTGTAGAACTCCGATGCCGCAATGTCCATCGCAAGCTTGACCTTGCGCCAGGCAGCCAATCATCAGCCCTTCAGCAAGCCAGCTGTTTACGGCACCATGTCGAAAGCCTTTCCAGTAGCGCCAGCATCCTTGATTGCGTCAACCAAGGCCTGCAATCCCTCATCGTTGTCCTGGAGCGGTGTTTGCACTCGCTAGACCATCTGTTGAGAGAATCGTGCAAGACGGCAACGCGGTCCTGGATGTTGGGAGCAAAGCCGCCTGACATCTGCAGGATGGGCAGGGAATGCGACGGCCAGGCTTTTGTCTGCAATTCTTGCTAGCCCTGCGAACCCCTCTTCCCACAATCCACATTTCCAGCTACCCAAGCCTGGTACGAACCTGCTGAGAACACTAGTACAAAAAATTACCTGTACGTCTCTGACTCTGACATGCCCTCCCTCGCACCATCTTTTGATTCAATGATTCTCTGCGTTACTACTTGTTCGGAAAGGCGTTCAAGGCTTTTGCAGCAGTGGCCTCTAAAGCAATGGATGTCTCAGCAGATCTTCTTCATGGCATCCCCACGGCTAATCAAGTCAGGTCCTACTCCATGCACCTTCATCGCCGACTGCAGCAGCTGCTTTGCCATACTTGGCCACCACCACATTCTTGAGTGAGTGGTAGACCTACAGCCAGCTGGCTCAGGTCAGTCCCACCTCCACATCCAAACGGAGATACAAAACTAGAGCGTGCCTCAGAGCCCATCTGCAGGGCCTGCGCACGAATTGACAACAAGGCCACGAGTGGCTCTGCATAGATTAAGCGAAGCTGCCTATGCAAACCACGTAACCGCTGATAACCGTTGCGCGACACCACCTACATCTGTTGCCTTTCACCCGACGTGCGCAACGTCTGCCACAACAACCAGCACCTCCTTGAAGGATTTGGCGCCCGTTGGAGAGATCATGAACTCCTGGCTTTGCAAACTAGGTCAAGTAGGTCAAGTGCATAGGGATGGCAGTGGTGTTGTCCTGCATTGGCAGTGCATTTCCAGCATGACGTCCACCGTTGATAACATTCATCATGGGAACTGGCCTTCGGATATCTGCAACATCCCAACTGATGGCATCAGCCAAGTCTCTGTCTATCTCAATGGCATGTGTGTGTGTGCGCGCAAACAACATGTTGACTGCGGACCGTTGACTGTGCCAGTGCACCCTGTCTGTCCTGCTTGTAGGATTTATGCGAGAATAGAAGCAAAAAAACTGAGAGAGAAGCGGGATGTATCAAAACACCCATCAGAGCGCACAAGGCTAGCACAGGCGGACCCAGAAAAACGAATGCAGCTTTGAAAGACCTCTGCGAAAATGTGAAAAAATCAAAGACCTGAAGGCTGAGAAACATTGATGCGCGCAGTGATCGGCAGTTCTTGCTGTACCCTCTGGTTTCATACATCTGCCAATGTAGGCCTCTGGGCCGCTGATGCCATGCTCTACAGGGTGCCAGATGCCGTGGTGCTGTGTTACCTGGCCGCGTCCCTCTGCAAGGACACCTCTGGCCGACATATGTCTGGAACAAGCTGACCAGGATCCAGCCTCACAAAATCCTACCCCCTAGTCCCCAGCCCCTCAGCCCCCACCCCAGCCACTCCAAGCCTTGCCAGACGCTTCTTACTTTGTAAGCCTTACTTGCTTTGCGACGTCTTGGCTTCCTTGCCAGCCCGGCTGCCGAGGTGGATGCGCACTAGCGCTTGCAATTAAGTTCTCCTGGCAAGCTTGCACTATGCATGTCTATTTCCCGAGGCTTGGTCATCTTGTACTTCTTGTGTCGAGCACGCTGAACATCAATGCCTGCCACCTGACGAATAGCCGCACAGCAAAGTTCAAGATCGAGTGTCGAGCTTTCAGATATATGCGTGCACCTCAAAGTTTGTCTCCTTTAGCTCCCCGATGTATTCGAATAGTTGCAGCCCTTGGAAACGGGGGTCTGGAGGGTGTTGCAGCGTCTGCTTGCAAAACAAGACATAAGTTTGATGACAAGCTGCCGAAAGCCTCTGCACCTGCTCGGCAAATTGCCCTCAGCAAAGCTGCACAGCAAAACGAACGAAACCCGGCGACACAAGGCTTACGTCACTTCCATCACTTACATATTGCATAAGGTTCTGTCATAGAGACCGCCAGGATTGCATTGGCGCCCAGCTTCGCCTCAGCACCCATTGGTGGATGCCAACATGCGAAGCACATCGAAGCATGTGCTTGGACGAGAGCCTTCGGGTAGCCCCACTGGTTCTGCGTCCCGTCCAGCTTGTAGATCTGAACATGCTTTCTGAATTTCGGCATGTTTCCACAATTGCTGCTGGTTTGGCGACTTCGCCAGCCGAGGCAGCAACCATGAGTTCGTCAAGGTCCTCCCGCTCAAGCGGTGCGAGGTGCGCAGATGGCAGACGAGAGCACTACTGCAGTTCAAAGCTCAACAAGACATAAGGTGAAAACTAAGACGTATCACTAGCTGACTAAGCTTTGAAAGTCGTGACCCTATGGGTCAGGAGGCTAGCCGTTGCCAAGATCTGTGGAGAAAAACCTGAGTCCAGCAACAGATACAGTGGAGTTTTGTCATCCCTTTTGGTGGTCTCCTTCTGAAACCTGACGTCCTTCCCTTTCAGCTTCGGCCTCAACAATTTCAACATGGGAGCTCATCACGGAAGGTGACCGCCTTCACACCCCTGCTCAGCATCGCGCGCGATGACACGATTAATGTTGTTCACGGCTTTAGAAACACCCTGTCCTCACAACAAGGAATGCTGTTGCCCGCAACATGATGTGGGTGGGACACCTTTGTAGCGGCTGCCGCCGTCTCTGAGCTCCAGGGCCTCACCGTTTGTTGAAACCGTCTCAGTTATTTATCAGGACCTCAGAAAAGCAGAAAAGATCAGAAAAGCCTCGTAGATTCCTGTTGATGCTCCGCTTGGCACCACAGCGCGCACAGTGCCGTAGCCTTCACAGCACATGCTTCAAGCATGCTTCAAGGTGCCAGGCATGCGCCACGCATGTCACCAAGGCCAACTGCAGGCCAACCTGTAGTCAGCTCTGCTTCTACGGTCGGGTTTCCTCGGCTGTCAACCACCTCAAGGCAGCTGAGTGACTACTCAAACGGCTCTTGAACGTTTCACAACAACTAGCACCTCGCGGCCGATGATGCTGATAATCTTGGCCTTATCGTCTGCAGGCGGCTCCTCCAAGCCATAGAGATTGAGAAGTTGAGAAGTCGCAAACTCGCTCAGCGACGGCTTCCTCTGGCAGCTTGCATGACTTTGTCAGGTTGTGCCAGCAATGCCAGCAGATGCATCGATATGCGCGCAGACATGCAAAATGCGTGCATGGCTCCCTCTCAACAATTGAAGCACGCATGACTCGCTATCAGAGTCCCTCCATCATTTCCTCTCACACTGCCAGCATCACTTTCTGTTGAACACCCCGTCCTTGCTGCCTTTTTTTCCTGCATTCGAAGCACAGCTTCAGCAAATGGTCGGCTGATGGAGCCCAAGGCCATCCAGCACTTGCAGTAGCACTTGCAGTGGCATGTCATGTGCACGGCAAACAGAATGCAAACAAGGCCTCCAAAGCACGTCGCAGACCAAGTCCACGAGAGGCAAATCCTGGTTAGCTCAAGGGCAGTCAAGCACTCCAATACGCTTCCTAAGATGCTGAGTAGCTTGCAGTGCACAAGCGAGAGCAAGGCTCAAAAATCGACTCCTGTCGTGACGTGGACGTGATACATGAACTCTGGTGCATGACCACATTTGTGCCACCTTGCAGCTTTCGGACGACCTGACAACAGGAGCCCCATCAGTCACCTCAGGACTGCAGTCCACGAGGCGATACTTGAGACGGCAACTGTATTGACGTGAGGCTCAGGCGACGCAACAGCAACTTGCCAGGAGGATTTTCAGCAATGTCAACGTACTACGGCTCGCAAAGGCAGGTTTCAGGCCAGGAAGCACACAGTCAAAGCGCCCAAATTGCGACTACAAGAAAACCAATCTTCAAAGCATTCTTTCACAATCCCCGCAAAATGGATCGCCTGTGCAGGCAAGTCGTATCATTATCTGCGCATTCAGAGTTGGAACGCTGCAGCAAGCAAGGACTTGCAAAGGCCCACATGTCAGCAGGCTGTCGCAGTGTTGGAAAACACATCTGACTTGCGCAGGCTTCCTGCGAAGCCTTTTCGGATTAACGGCAATTGGCACCTCCTGTTTGAGGGCACAACTGATTCACTAGCAAGAAGTCGCCACTGCATCTGCAGCGGTCTTACATGGTTCAGCCTAAAAAGACGGCAAAAAATTGGAAATGGGGAAGTCATATCTCAGGGATTACTGTTTCTGGAGGTAACGCAAGAACAAGGTGCTGGCTCACATCCTCAAGCTTTACTTGCTTCTGCCTGTGCCTCACCAGCTAAGCATCAAGTCTGGCGTAATGGTATCATGCTGCAGAAACCTGTAGTCAACCGCAAATTCAATCCAACAGCGGAACTGCAAACTGGCTTGCACTATTTTCAGACGCCACGCAGTCTCAGTCGCAACAGGAACACCCAGACTTTGTGGGCCACACCTGGCATTACACATGTTTGATTCGTTCATCCATGAGCAACGGGGCTGCGGCCGATGCGTCTCGATACCAGGCGCTTCTCTTGACCGCAAGTTCAGGCCTCAGGTCTAAGTATGCTCCTTTACCCGGTTGCACTATGTTGCACTCATCTGGCTAAATCACGAAGTGCTCCAGGCGCAGTCCAAGGATCAGGCTCTGGCTCAAAGTCCTGGTCACCACGCAGGACCTGTGTGCGCTGGTCCAACCATGCAGCACTAGGGCAGCATTTTGTAGCCTGCCACGGCATGCGAGCAAAACCCGGTCAAGAACTGGGCGCGTCGCCATGAAATCCTGTTAAGTTCACATCTTCACAAAGCTGCATCTCCAAGACTTCAACATACTTCAACCTCCAAGCCTGCGCCACAGTGACCGGAACATCATCTCCCAGGATTTGCCGCGCCTCCCGCTCAGCATTGCATCAATGAGTGACACCTGCGCTCCAGAGGATGCCTCGTCACCCAGCTTCTCTGCTGGATCTGGTGACCCCTCATCCACCTCACAGTAGCACATGGTTCAGCTCAAAGGAAGGTCAGGAATCTTGTCTCGAACCTCAGACGTCCGTGCGTATCTGGCAGAAAAATGTGACAGGACCAAGCGTTTCCTCAGCATGCAGGTCACTCAGAATGCTTTGAAAGGATACTGCTGCTGTCGGTCTGGTTTGCTTGCGAGTTCGCATGGACTGGATGGTACGTTTTCAACCTGTCGCTCACTCTCGCTCCAGCCCTGTCCGGAGCTCTGGTGGGATGACGTTGTCCGCATTGGGACTGTTGTACAACGGCTCAGGCTGCTCAGGAGCTCCTGGGACAGCTTCCGGTGGCACTTCCACACGAACCTCAGCATGCCACCGAAGAGCTCTTACAAGATTCTGCAGATAGGACGTACTATGACAGTTTGGGACACTGGCTTCAGTGCGAATGCGCTTGTCCAGCCCACCTTTCTGAGCCTCAACGTGGGAACATGCTACGAATTGCGGTTTCCATTCGAAATCATCTGAGCTACCCCAAATGCTATGGCCGCAATAGGCACCAACCTCCTCATGTTGGCGAAGCACCTCCGACCAGGTTTCATTGGCCTTCCACGACTATGCGCGAGCGCTGCACCGAAAATTGGCATCACTTTGGTGCAGGACGGCCTTGTCAGCATCTGCATATCGGTGTTCGGCATACAACTGCAGAGACACTTGCTTCGTTCAAGGGCGCGATGGAATGCCAGTGCACGTCATCATGTGTATGGGAGCAGGGTAGACATTCAGATTGCCGAATCCACATTTCGCTGGCCTTGCCCTTTGCTGCCCTCCAAATTTCCTGTTGACTCTCCTTGCTCTGCTCCTCTCGAAACCTGCTCCCGTAATCCCTGAGCCAGCTTGCAGTCGCAGTCCAGTCATGCTGGCGAAACATTGCCAACGTCGCCTACTCTGCCTGTACATCACACAACATATCACACAAGCCATGAATCTTGTGACAGCCTTGATGCTCGGCACTGGTCCCGAAGGGAGGTCAGCATTCCCATCGTGTCCTCCAACCAAAAGGAAATCCACGAGGTCTCATAACTGCAGAGAAGGTTCTTGGAGCCACACGCGGTGGCGGTGGCCACTTCCGTGACTCGTCTGGCCTGGGGGCATGCAGCTGAATCATGCTAGTTCTGGGCATATTGTGTTCTGGCCTTGTCTCTCTGACGTAGCCTGACACCTCGGCACAAAACTTAATTAGCAGCTGGTGAATTCCACAATTTCAGCTTGGCCTCGTCTGCCACTGCAGTTGGTTGCAAGTCTTCTGCCTGATGCGGAGGTGCTTGGCAGCAAAATGCACTACCCGATACACGACGCACTGGCACGGATATTGCAGAGGCGGAAGCCGCAAATCTGAAGAAGACCCGCCTGCTCTTCTTGGAAGGTGCGAGGGTTCATTGCTGGTCGCGGGCCATTTTGTTCTCCACGTAGATCACCTCAGCTCAGGGCTTGCAATGATGCAAGTTCGGAATACAGTTTATTCGACCAATGTCTGCATGTTCCGATTCCACACAATAACTCTTTTAGAGCCCCTGCTGCAGTCGAAGTCCTTGCATTCTGAGCAGTTTAACTTTCGCAAGAAGGAAGGTGACAGAAATGGATTCTAAGACTCAGTCCCAGGTGTTACCTGGAAGCCACGAGTTCAAAAAAACCTGACTACTGCTTGCGCCACGATTCCCATCGCGGAAGGTTTCGGCGGAGGAGGTGAGACCTCAGTCAAGTGCACGCTGCATTCGATGTTGAGATGCGTGTCCACGCCAAGACCTGTCTGTACATGTAACATTCAACAAAGGCACGGGACCGGTCTCGCTGGGCTCACCGTCTGGGATGGTGTCCTGCCACCACCGTCTACTGGATCAGTCAGGCTGATACGAAAAACATCCGTTACACTCCTGAATATTTCAAGCTGTGCTGCATGGTTCAAGCACAGTAGAGGCTGCCTCGTCCGTCTGCTCAATGACAACGTCGCCGTCCGAGGGCTTGGGCGCTTCCATGGGGAGGGTGTCCCACTCCACCTTCTTGTGTGGCCTGCCTCGGCTGAAGGGCTTCAGACTCTTTCTTGTGCACTGCAGCCACTTTTCATTACATCCCCTAGAACCGAAGGTCTTCAACAAGTGGGGTACAAAGCCTGATGTTCAGAATTTGGCAGCGAGTATGTGCAAGTATCTGCCAGTAAGGACTGAAGTCTTGTTGGGGTTAGAGCTTCGACTTCTGCTTACAACACTAGACAACGAGGACCCGGTGCGTAAATGGCTGAAGTCTAATGCATGTTCAGGACAAGATGGAGGTGAGCATGTCTGCTGCAACCAGCAGGCTTTGGACGCCTGATGGATTGTCCAGAAACGTCGAAAAGACTGTCCGACGTACACTGAACGATCTGGCACCTGGCATGCCCTAGCACGTGCAGTAGCTGGCACCAGGGCATGAAATGGATTCGTGCGGCTGCCTGCGCCGAGACAGTGGACCATCAGATCGCCAGGACATGGCTGCACCCAAGTCTGCTGAAGATTGTCATCTGCATACCTCTGCAAGCAAGAGCCTATGGTACAGTGACGCATAGTGACATAGTGACACTCAACAGCGACAAGCCAATGCCCGCCTCAAAGGCACGCTGCAGGTGGGCATGGTGGCATTGCTGTCTTTGCTGGCATGCTTTTCTGCTTTGAGCCAGTGTTAGAGGATCAGCTTTGGGTTTGCCACGAGCTGGCAGCAGTCGCTCCATAATGCGAACACTCTGCAGGTCCTGCTTTAAGAAGCAGTGTCCAAGGATTTCCAACATGAGCATATCAGTGGGAGCACCTTGAGCACCCAGCGCCTCGCAAGCGACTGCAAAACGGGCGGCCATGGCGCTCCTCGGGGCGATGGACTGCGGAACTGCCACCATTTCGCTGAAGACACTGTGCTAGGCGGCCGCACGTGCTGTGGCCCTTTGCTATAGCCTCAGTTCAAGCAGTCTTGGGCATAATGCTCCGAAAGCATCGCGTGTTTTGAGTTGCTCGCCTCTGCCTCCATGCCATCTTCAAAGGTGGCTTCATGCACAACCTTGGACTCTGATTCCCTTCGGCGCCCCAGCAACACCGTGGTTACTGTGGAGCTCAGATGCTGCCAAACAGGCCACAAGCTTCCGGCACAGGCAGCCTGTCGACAAGATTCGATGGCAGATGACGCATCTGAGGTGTCCTGAGGCAAACTCCAAAACGTGAGGACTTTGTGGTGTCTTTCATACGCCATGAGTCCTGCAAGACAGCCAAAGTCCGGCCTTGAATTGTAGGGCCTGATTCAAACTGCTGAGCATGCAAACGCCCCCAGGTAAACTTGTGCTGAGCTTGTGTCCAAGGACTTGCTCGGGCGAGACTGTCCTGTAACTTTTACTCAGCCATCTCCAACACTACCAGAACATGTAGCACATTGATCTACCCTGAGCAGCAGACGAGCCGTCTTCTAGCCTGCTCTCAGGTAGACTCTACTGTTGATAAACAATTTCCTGCATCGATGTTCCATCTCTTCTCAGCCCGGAGCTCTATCAATGATTTCCAAAGACATTCATCAAGGGAGTGCGAACTAATGACCAAAATCCTGCGTCACTGAAATTCGAGGAACATGGGGAGCTTAACAGCTCATTGCCCATGCTTAGGGCCTAACAGTTACAGTTTTGTCCATCAACAGCAGCCCTGTGTTCAACCTGCACAGCTACCTCTGAGTAGCGACAGAAAATGTCTAGAGCGTCAAGAAAGCGTTGCGATCACAGGGACTGTCCCCTTCTTTTTCACAGCTTGAAATTACTAGAGACGCTCTCAAGCGCCGTGCTTTTGTCTTTGTGCAAGCTTTGGTTGCCAAGGAGGTCTTTCAGAAGGTGACTGCCGTCGTTTTCGGGTTCATCCCCTAAATGTTGCAAAGTTCTGCAACCAATAACACACATGCATACCATACGTAAGGGTCTTCCACGTGATGAATATCAGTGCGACCATAATAAGGCAATGGTCGTTTCTTTATGGTTGCTATCGTTTTTGTCCTTAAAGAAGTCAAGCCCAACGACGCGATTGATAGTCCAATCTTGATTGACCAATACAAGAAACAGCTGCGAATATACTGGCGGGAAAGTTTGATCAAAATGATAATGGTTGATAATGGCGGCCATCAAAGGTGTAGCACTGGGCAAAGGAAAAATCATTCATGTCATGTTGGCAAACAACAGAACAAAAGAAACTTGGAAACAGTGCTGCCTAGCAGATAAGTTGGAAACCCTGACAGGGACCGTCTTTTGCACTTCTGGACATGTTAAGGACGAATTT